TGTTGGTTTCTCTGTGTTCTGTAGAGATCCTCATTCTCCTGATTTTGATGTGCTATTTTTCAGTTTGTTGCTTGCTTAATGGTCCTTCAATATATGGTGACATTGCTTATCTTAGATGTCATACAAAAAGTGGTGGTTGTGGCCATGGTTTATGCCAGTTCGACTGGTATTTGCCTGTCCAACCAAACACAGGTAGTGGACCATATATCTAAGTGCCACTTGGTAAACAACTGATGATTATTTTTTAGTAATTTTTCCAGTAATAGCTGGGAACTAATCAGTATACCACTTGGTATCTCAATATGATACCAGTTAGATGTTGTGAAATCAGGTATTGGACCAATATTGGAAACCTGGTTATGACAATAAATAAGATACCATGGTATGCTCATGTTATATGCCCCGTATGTGCTAGTTGAACTGGGTTTGGTAAGCAGGGATACCATGTACAAGCCCCTATATTGATGTCTTTTCCTTTGTCATATTTTGACCAATTCAAGTGGTACCTGTATTGTAACTGGTGGTCAATGGTTCGAGCCGGGTAGGTGTGGATACTAGTGTATTTATTAAACTTTGGTTGGGACCAAGGTTTTTAATTTTGGTCCAGTGCTGGTTTTGGTAATCTACCAGACCAATATGGTACTTGTGTGACAAACAGTATATCAATCGATACCATTTGGTATCAGCTGAAAAAACATTTTTAAAAAATTAAGAACTGACTGGTTTTGGACCATGTGACCAATATCGATTGTTGCTTGGACTGATAAATATCAGTTAATAATTACTGTACTGATTGGTATTTGAAAGAATGGTTGTGATCTTTAGGGTTTGATGGATATCAATAATCTTGTCATATATTTAGATCATGTTGATTTGGCTATTGCTTTAGACACTTTACACAAGAACCATTCTCTTGCATGTCTGATTATTTTATATTTGTACTAGATAGAATTTGCTTTTCTTTTGTTAAAATAGATTGTTTTCTATATTCATTGGAGTGTTTATAGCTCTTGTGGTCAAAGCCCTTTTCCTTGACCAAAATCAGGTTCTTTTTCTTTCAAGAAGTTCTGAATTGAAAGTAAGGGTTTTTAAGATTCAGAAGTGACTGTTTCTTCCTAGAAATGACTGTGCTCATACTTCTTTTGCACCAAAAAAAGAAAAAAGAAAAAACCTCTAAAGGAACTCAATTATTAAGCTTTGGACCTATGTTCATGTTTCCTCTGAAGCAAAATTTAGTGATTTACGTATTCTTGGGAAATTCTTTCCCAGATCCCACAGGCGGGAGCATTTGCGCAATAGGCCACTTCTTTAGGTATCCTTGGGAAGTAGGGAGCTACAGGCCATCTCTCTGCTCTGAAAGGTCCTGAAAAGAAAATATTGATATGCCTCACAATTGTCTCTTTTGAGAGATATGACAAAGTATTCCGGAAATATGTTGCAGAAAAATCCAGCCAGGAAACTGATCTAAGAGCATTTCTCCTCTAGTCATGCGGAGACTAATCTGACCTAACTAACCGAATTTGTATTGAGGATATATAATATGATTTCATGCTCATTTTCTCAACTTTAATGGTTTCAATTGGAAATATATTAGAATTTTATGCAATTCAAAACCCTGAGAATATAACTCCTGCTGTTTCTTTTTCTCCAGGTTGTTGGCCGACTTCCACATGAAGATTTGATGAAACATTTGCCATCATTTTTGCCTGCCTTGTTTGATGCATTTGGAAACCAAAGTACAGATGTGAGGAAGGTAGGATTTTCACTTCTCCTTACAGCACAGATAAGAGACGTATGCTTGCCTTTTTTGCAATAGAGTTGTTAGCTAGACTTTTGAAGAAACAAATGCACATCCTATATGGTGATGCATGGTACATATACATGTGGAAATATTTGAACCCAACACTTTTGATGAATCTATGAAAAATCAGCATTAGTGTAAACTTTTTCGTTGACATTTTATAGGACTACTGGTGATAACACTCGTAACTCAAAAAGCAACATAGATGATGCAGAGAATCTTTTGGATTCCACGGATCTTGTATATTATGCACCTAGATTTGTGAAGCATCCGGATCTAGGATTAACATTTTTTGGTTTATTTGTATCTAGATTAGATTTTTTTAATTATTTTATAAGGACTCTTGGGATTCTTTTTGATGTTGGTTTCATATAGGATAAATTATGTTATTATTATCCAAAAAAATGATATGATAAGATGCTTATTTTTTGGAAGTTTAGATGCGTTTGAACTGGAAGTAGATTTGATTAGGTCCTTATATACAATCTTGGTGGTATTTAAATGACTTATCTATAAGTAACTTTTAGAAGGCTTAAACATGTATCAAAATGATATGATAAACCTTTGGATGAAAGAAAATAAGTTCTTTTAGGCTGTAAGGTCATCCTCTGTAATGGGTGTTTCCTGTAGCTTCTAGTCTTTCAGTCTACATGTCACCTTTTTTGCTCTTATTTCATTGATGTAGTTATGTTTTGCAATTGTATGTTATCTTATATAAATTGGAGTATAGTTGTGGACCATCATCATCATATCACTCCATTCGCATCAAATTCCATTATAAAAAATCTCTGGTTCTAATATTATTACTAATAAGTGACTGTTGTCATTAAACTGTGTTTTTTGTACTAGTTTTAACAGTGGTAGCTGTAGTACGTTAATTGGCATTTTATGTATGTACCTAAAAGTTACAAAGCATTTAAGTACATGTTGTTTAGACTACTTATTGAACCATAAAACCTCAGCCTTTTGTGTTGACAGTCCTTTTAGGTAGATCCGAGGAGATGATCACCAGAAAATTTTTCTTGCAACAACACAGTTTCTTAAGGCAGATAACTTCTTTTGTTAGCTTTTTTGTTTTCCTTCTCTTTCTTTTTCTTTCCATCACCTTCTTTTTCCTTCTTCTCAACCGATTCCAAATACCATTACATATATACCAACGTGCCTCCGGATTTCAGTCTCCTAAATTTAGGTGATGCAAAAATGGAGACTATTATCTATCGACTTCTCTTCAAATCTTTATGGAAAAAGATGATGTTTTGTGCATAAAAACACAACTGTGGTCTTCTAGAAATTCGCCCTTCTTCTAGAGCTAAACCGTTGAACACATCATATCTATATGCAAGGTCAAATTGGTGGGAGATGGTCTCTATTCTCCTTGCTGTCTTGGTTGTCATCTTCTTGGACATGGATCTGAACTCTTTTCTTTATTTCCTTTTTCTTTGTTTTTGAGAAGGAAAAGCGTAGAAATGCGGTAAGCATGTATGAGAAAATAATAAATAGATCATTGAAGATGTAGGAGTCCTATGGTTATGCTTCAGTAAACTCTGCCATAGTTTAATTTATCTGCCTAGAATGTCACTCAATGCGTCCTGCTTTATATCTTAAAAAAAAAATCTCATCTGACAAATTTCTCTATCTGGAACATTTCAGACTGTTGTTTTCTGTTTGGTGGAAATTTACATCCTACTTGGCAAGTCATTTTTACCATATTTGGAGGGTCTTAGTAGCACACAGTTACGCCTCGTGACAATCTATGCCAACCGAATTTCCCAAGCAAGATCTGGAGCTCCAGTTGATGCTAACAATTGAGTATGTGTTGTTTTGTCTTGTTTGTTCTGGGTGTTTGTATAGTGTAATGACATTCCCAATCATTGGGGTTAGTAAGGTTTTTCTGATTGATTGGTTCTCAGGGTTTGGTGGGGATGAGTGAGGGCTTATTGTTGCCGTACATAAGCATGTACCTCGAGCTTCTATGGATCTTGTAATACTGGGTGCTCGGTGATCACAGGTTGGTGATCTTAAAATGGGATATATCTGGAATCGTTTCTATTATCCTTTATGTTTGTACATGCATTTCTTTTATCGATACTTATTAAATTTTTTGTTCGAAAAGCTGAAGTTTTAGCACTTGAGCACCAGAATTGGTAGGGCTTTTCTTCCATTCATGTGTCATTATTGATAGAGAGTATCTGTAGAATCTCTAGGAATTCATGAAGCAGCCAACTTTTTTTACACAATTTATATGTGGACTAAATAAAAGAAGCTTTCTTAGTCGTGTCAGTAATTTTCTCGTACGTTTTGTTGAGTTTGTGATTTCATCATTTAAAATGCCTTGTTGTAATAAATGTGGAGTAATAAGAGTAACTGAGGGAGGGAGAAAGAGAGACCTGAGCAAGTGTTCGGAATTAATGCTTTGCTTACCTGACTTCATTGATATGCATTTGGCAGATCTGATTGGTTAGTAATGGTGATGTCGTCCCCGATGTGGAATGTACAAGTTAGCCTATTAATAGCATGACTGAACCAGTGTGGATTGTTGAGGTACGCAAAACACCTTCTACTTTTAGAGTTTTGAGTTCCTAATGGCTGGCCAATCCTCGGTTTTGAGTAAACCGAGGATTAGAGAAGAAGTATCTCTGTCAGGTGACATTTTTTTTGAAGTAAAAAGAAAAAATCTCTTTAATTGGGTCTTTAATGGGCTAGAATTAGGAATAACAAGGGGGTATAACGTCACGTACGTACGATGCGGGTAACAATAGTAGTTGGCAGTACGATTTGTGGAGCTTTGGCCTTTACCGTTCCATATGACTAGTTAATTAATTACCCACGTGGCAGCCTTGATGTCATAAAGCTTATTCCAAAACGCACGATGCGTGACATGTCTAAATAAAAATGTAACTTGCGCCACGCAATGTCGTGTACCCATTTCGGGTACCATGTTGAAATAAAGGGTCTGGCGGGGACCACCGGAAGCTACCATATAATAACAGAGATTGTTGATCGTGATATTATTGACGAGTATGTCGAATATTGTTCTTTCTGACGACCAATACTTTTCAGTCTTCGTACGTTTTGATGTGTTAGCTACCGACCTAGTGATTGGAGCAGGTTTGGGACCCATGAGAAGTCCGGCTGAGACGGCACTATTTGTTCCAGTGGAAAGACAGGTAGATCTTAGGGGTTCGAGGTAATTGGAACCATATTGAACGAAATTTTGGCGTTAAGCCTAGTGAGAACCGGAACGTGTCGCGAAACGTCCAACGTGTCGGGAGAGGCAACCGGCTATCGACGGCGACGAACCGGGCCTTTTTCCCATGAGATGAGAGATATCGAGAGAGCGAGTTCATGAGGTTGTCTCTCCCGATATCTCCCTGATGCGAGTGGGCGAAGGGGAAGCTCTCCTCTCCTTGTCTCGGCGAAGATCGCTCTGTGTGTCATACTCTCTCTCTCTCTCTCTCTCCCCATCGCTGATCTCTTCTTCTTTCCTCTTCGATCCGATTGTATGATTCTTCCTACATTTTGACGTCCGTCAAAATTTTCTTCTCCAGCATTTGTTTCCCTCTGTGTTGGCGTAATTTGGGGGTTCAGAACTTTTATTTGTCCTGCTGGGGAATCCCGGTCTGGGTTTTGGGTTTTTTGCGAATTATGTACTTTTTTTAGGGTTCCGAGATTGATAGATTGGGGTACCACTGCAAAAGTTTTGATTTTTAGTGGAGATTAGTGGTCGAGGCCACTGTACACTGGTGGGTGATAATTCCCTGGTGGCGTTTCGAACTGGGGGACGCACGGCAGAAGCGCTCAAACTGGATCTGCTATCGATTTGATTTGGGTCACAATTCCATGAGGCGGCGGTTGTCGGCTTCCGTTCATCACGAGGGGATGGAGAAGGCCAACGGCAAGCCTCGGCCTTCTCGGCTCTGCTTCTTGGCCACTCTATCGGCCATGTTCTGGATCATGATCTTCTATTTCCATTTCACTGTTCTGAGCAGTAACTCTATCAACAACCCTGAGCAATCTGTTTCCTACTCCATTCCTTCCAAATCCCAACGGATTTCGGAAGCATACGAAGCTCTCGAACTGCCAAAAATGAAGGTGCAGTCCCAATTGAAGCCATCAGACCAGCAAGCACCGGAAGTATTTCCCTTCACCCGTGCCCTCCAGACCATCGATAACAAGAGCGATCCCTGTGGCGGGAGGTACATCTACGTTCATGATCTTCCCTCATGGTTCAATGCAGACATGCTCAGAGATTGCAGAAAGTTGAGCCTTTGGACCAACATGTGCAAGTTCACAGGCAATGCTGGCCTGGGGCCTCCGCTTCAGAATGCCGAAGGAGTCTTCTCAAATACAGGGTGGTATGCAACAAATCAGTTTGCGGTGGATGTGATCTTCAACAACCGGATGAAGCAGTATGAGTGCCTGACTAAAGATTCCTCCATTGCGGCTGCTATCTTTGTGCCATTCTATGCTGGTTTTGACATAGCTCGATATCTTTGGGGTTATAACATCTCAGTCAGGGATTCTTCATCTCTTGAGTTGGTTGATTGGCTTATGAAGAGGCCTGAGTGGAGTGTGATGGGGGGGAGGGACCATTTCTTGGTGGCAGGAAGGATCACTTGGGACTTTAGGAGATTGACGGATTCTAATTCAGACTGGGGAAACAAGCTTTTGTTCTTGCCAGCTGCGAAGAACATGTCAATGCTGGTTGTGGAGTCGAGCCCATGGAATGCTAATGATTTTGGCATACCATATCCTACTTACTTTCACCCGGCAAAGGATGCTGAAGTTTTCATTTGGCAGGATCGGATGAGGGAGTTGAAGCGGAGGTATCTCTGTTCATTTGCAGGAGCACCACGCCCTGGTAATCCGAAATCAATTAGAGGACAGATCATCGATCAGTGTCAAAGGTCTAAGGTTTGCAAGTTGTTGGAGTGTGATTTTGGAGAGAGCAAGTGTCATTCTCCAAGCAGCATAATGCAAATGTTCCAGAGCTCTTTGTTTTGCCTACAACCTCAGGGAGATTCGTATACAAGGAGATCAGCTTTTGACTCAATGTTGGCTGGTTGCATACCCGTTTTCTTCCATCCTGGCTCTGCTTATATACAATACACATGGCACCTCCCGAGGAACTACTCGACATACTCAGTATTTATCCCAGAGGATGATATTCGAAAGAAAAATGTTAGCATTGAGGAGAGGTTAAAGCAAATCCCTCCTGATGTTGTGGAAATAATGAGAGAGACAGTTATTAGCCTGATACCTAAGCTGATATATGCAGACCCTAGATATAAATTGGAGACTCTTAAGGATGCCTTTGATGTGGCTGTACAGGCAGTAATTGACAAAGTCACTCAGCTAAGAAGGGACATAGTAGAAGGCCACGAAGATAAGGACTTCATCGAAGAGAATAGCTGGAAGTATGCTTTGTTAGAGGATGGCCAGCGGATGGTTGGTCCACATCAGTGGGATCCTTTCTTCTCTAAACCTAAGGATGGTAATGGGGATTCTGGCACCTCATCTGCTGAAGCTGCTAAGAATTCTTGGCAGAATGAACAAAGGAGTCAAGTTTGACCTTCATTCAAGATTGAGTTGGAAGATAAGGCTGGTTGCTAAGCTTCTTGAAGGCAAGCAAACTATATTTCAGAACGTCGATCATCCATGTTGAGTAAATTTGATGAGCTTGTCTGCAGGATGTGAGAATACATGCCTATGATAATGGTAGTATTTCAAAGATAGGCTGCGGATGTGGTTGTCCTACATCTTAAGTTTTGTAGTTTTGGATTTTGGCACATTCTCATTAGTAGTTCGTTGTAACTCTTACGTTACATGTTTACAAAGATAGAAACATTGTAATTTTGTTCTTTTTATTTTTTAAGGCCAAATGAGTAATACAATAAAAATGAATCCTTGTTGCTGCTTTTCATACATTTGTTATTTAATGAGAATTTTATTGCAAGAAGAATTGGATTCACATGGGCCTTAAGTGATGCAATTATCTACTGTATTACTGAAATGAGGGCATAACTTTCTGACATAAATGATAGGTGTCAAACAGATGAATGCTGTCATTTTGGTGCTAATGCAAATATAACTTACATAAAGGAAGAACATCAAACAGATGAATGCTGACAATCTGTTGCTAGAGCAATTGGATAAGAATGATTTAGGTATGATCCCTGAAAGTTCCACAGCTGCCTATGTTGGTATTGACTGTAATGACAAATCCTTTTCTTGTTTGTGAAACTTCTTATGTTCTGCCAATTTATAAAATTCATGTTTTGATTTGAGTAAATGTGTTTCTCTAGGACCTGTGCACCCTATGAGAAATTGTGGCATTTATGTGTTATTCCTCATATGAAGTGTATCAGCATCAAAACGTGTTTCATTTTCGTCGGGTGAGGGAGTATCGATCATTTTGATGAGGATCAAAGTGCATTTGCACTCATAACTTTGACCAGTTATTCATGGTGACTTATTCTAGAAGACAAGGTTGGTCCGAAGCTTATGAGCACAACTCTTCGTTTTATAAATGAATTAGTTATTTCATGCTATTGACTCTTTTTAGCATGAGCAATATCTGGCTGTTGAGAAGCAAATATTTAACTGCAAAGTATTTTTGTTCTTTGTTGTGTTCTGATATGTTTATTGGGTTTAGTCTGTTGTGCGAGCATTTTTGTAGAGGTGAGATGTGTTTTCCATACATTAACTTACTATTTGTATATCTCTTACCTGATGATAGTTGACTGTGAATTTTGGGATCCAGTAAGATAAATGGTCATCATGTATGTGGCTGTCAGTTGCCAGACTTCTTTTCTGTGCTTGTTCATGCTGTGCATGTTTCATGTGTATAAGTTGCTTGGGTCCCTAAAATTCTTTTTGATCTGAAGGCAGTTGCTCTGGTCCCAGGAGGGATGGGCCATGCGTTTATGCTTGATCTTATTTCCTGCTGACAGACTTCTGGTTGATCTTCTCTCTCATCTTTTATGTGCTTGTTTGTATGCAGTATGACTCACCATTCCATCCAAAATTTTTCTGTCAATTGTTCTCCAGTAGATGATGATGCTGATGATGCATACAAGTAGGGGACCCAAGTTATATTTTTTCCCCTTCAATATGCAAAATTGTCTTTTCTTGGTGTTTTACTGAATGATTGATCTTGCGCAGCTTTAATCACCTTGTTATAGTACTAATGTGTTGCTTTTTATACTGGTCCATACTGTTTGGTAGTCATTAAGTGCACCATGACCACTGCGCAGCTTTGAATGTTATTGAATTGCTTGCAGAAGTCTACTGTCTGTATTAGAAACCACCAGTAGGATGTGAATGATATGCTAATAGCTATGTTTCATTTATTTTTGCTGTAATGGAATCTTATTTGATAAATCGAAGCATCTGAGCCACTTGTAGGTATACCATTTTGTTGCCTCAGTTTGGGAACTTATTTTCTGTTCTATGATTGTGCAGGTTGAGTTCCAACAATCAAACAAAGGGAGAAATTTTGATTGATGATCATTTTAGCCTTGATCTTAAACCAACACTTGGAATGCTTTTCTGAGGTATGCATTTGCAGGTCAGATGTTTTTAGCTTAGGATTATATGATATGTGTCATTTAGGAAATACTTGCTGAATGTCCCAACTATTTAAGTGGTATTTACCATGGAAAGGAAAACCACAAGAAGATCTGTCTGTAAATTGCAGAGGGTCCCAACTTCAGTGGACTGAGATTTTCTGTAATTGCATAGATCATGGGGTTCATAAATTTTCATATCAGAAATATGATTTGCCTTATCACAATGCTTAACTTTGGATGCATATTCTATTGTTATATAACTTTCATTTTTAGCATTACATGATGTTTACATTCCCAGCAGTCTCCGACGAGGTACGTGAGGGCCTCCGTTGTAGCTTCGTTCCCAGGGAAAAGGTCTGTCGTCCACGTGGAGCGATATTGGAGTGTGGATCTTAAAGCTTGCCAGGATGAGTATGAGTGGTGTCGATATGGGCCCGAAAAATAAGTCTGCCTTTAAAGTAATAGGATTTAGTTGGCCCAAAACATATATGATTTGATCCAGTCGATGGACGGTCAGGATTAATGTTGTGAAATGGATGAACGGTTGCCTATAACTGTTGGTTTTATAGACGGGTCGATGACCATCAGCATGGTCCGAGCCGTTCATCAACGGCATGATCCACCTCCCAGCTGCTGCGGAACGAAGCGCGCCTCCCCTTCGCCACCCTCACCGCCGTCGTCACCGCTCTCCGCCGCCACCTCCGCCTCGCTGGTGACCTTGGTTCTCTTCCCCTCGCCCGCCAGTCTCACGCCGCCGCCATCACCCTCGGCCTGCGCTGCCACCCCCTCGTCTCCTCTGCCCTCATTTCTGCATACTCCCTTCTCCGCCTCCCTTCCCTTTCACTCCTCGTCGTCTTCCGCCACCATCAGCAGCCAGACCTTTTCCTCTACAATTCTCTCCTTGCTGCCTTCTCCCGCAACGGCCTCTTCGCCGAAACCATTTCTTTCTTCCACCAGTTGAGTCTCCGGCTCTCGCCCGACCAATTTTCCCTCTCAATCGCCGCCGATCTCGCTGAATTGAGAACCGGGCGGGGTTCCACTCCCTCGCCATTGGGCTCGGTTTTGACGCTGACACGATACTTTCAAATTCGCTGATGTTAATGTACTTCAGATGTAAGTGCACAACTGATGCTTATTGCCTATTTGATGAAATGCCTGCAGGAAGTGTGGCTTCTTGGAATGCTTTGATTCTGGAGTTGGCTGAAATGGTGGATGTCATAGACGTGGCAGGAATGTGGGAACTTGTGAGGCAGATGCAATCAGAAGCCATGAAACCAGATTCATTCACGATATCTACTATCCGTACTTTGTGGAGTTTTGATGATTGGAGCCAGAAGCGTGGGACGGAGATACATTGCTTTGTTTTGAGAAATAACTTGGGTATGGATTATGATTTCCATGTAAGGAGTTGTTTAATAGATATGTATTCAAGGGTGAGGCGAGTGGATTTGGGAAGGTGAGTTTTTTATGGTATGACTTCAAAAAATGTGGTGGTCTGTACAGCTATGGTTGCTGGGTATGTTAAGAATGGAGAGAATGTGGAATCTCTTAAGCTTTTCCAAGAGATGACTCTGAGAGATGGTACAATGCCAAACAAGATCACTATGGTAACTATCCTACCGGCAGTTGGATCACTTGCAAGCTTGGTAGAAGGAAAGCAAATTCATGGTTGTGCCATCAGATTGGGGTTGAATAGTGAGACTTCTTTGAACAATGCTTTAATTGATATGTACTCCAAATGCGGAACCATGCCTCGTGCAAGATGCATCTTTGATGATGAGTCCTGGAAGAAAGATGTCATCTCTTGGAGCTCAATGATATCGTGTTATGGAATCCATGGCAAGGGAGATCAAGCTATTACTTTTTTTAGAAAATTGAGTAGTGTTAATTTCAAACTTAATTATATAACGAGTTTGGCTATTTTATCGGCTTGTGCTAGGGGTGGCCTAGCAATGGAAGGTCTTGAGATCTGTAATTCTTTGGTCAAGAATCATGCAGTTATGCCTACTGTTGAAATTTGTTCTTGCATGGTTGACATGTTAGGTCGAGCAGGCCAACTGCATCATGCTTTGGATTTTATAAATTCAATGCCCATTGCACCTCCCCTAGTATTTGGGGTGCTCTTTTTGGTGATTCAGTGATTCACAATGACCAAAAAATGCAAGATTTGTCTTATAATTTCCTTATTCAGTTGGAACCTGACAACCCTTCAAATTTTGTGTCAGCTTCAAACTTACATGCCTCATCTGAGAAATGAGATTTTGTGGCTCAAGTAAGGACGAAGATGAAAAAAGAAGGCTTGAAGAAAATGCCTGGCTCTAGTTGGGTTACTGTTTAGAGGACTCATCTTTACATGCCTTATTGGTGTCCAGATATAAGTAATGCAACAAAAAGACTCTCCGACTTTGCACTGGAGGAATCTGGTTTAGTTCTCATCGTGGATAATCCTGCAGGTGCTTCTAATGCTATATGTCACTTCATTGGTGGTGGTCTTCATAATGATACAGATTACTGACAAAAAGTTGCTCTGTAGGTTATAAGATATTAAATCAACTTTTTCCAGGTATGTTTATGTGTAGCAAGAGTAATTGCTACAATTCCATCAATGAACATGATTGCTGAATGTGGTCACGTTAATATGAACCTACTTTCAAACTCATGTGCAATAGCATTTCCTCAAAATAGCTTTTGTAAATGTGAATTACTTTTAAGAAACCGTACATAAGTGACAACTTTTTGTTTCTGCAAAACAAGAATAGTTGCTACTCAGATAATTGCTTATGTTGATGCACACCAAGAATTTGCTAGAACTCAATCAGTGAATATTTTTGTTGAAAATGGTAATGCTAAAATGACATTATTTCAAAGTTGTGTGCTATCTGCTTCATATCTATGAGAGAATAATAATTATCTATTATAAGGAATGGATGGGTTTGGAGATTTTACATCATTTGCTAATATCTTCACTGCGAACATTAATTTCAAACTGCATGTTCTTTAGCATGAAACAGTGTAAAAATCATGTACTTTAGCATGTCTAGACTTTAGCTTGAGATAGTATAAGGATCACTACTCACCTCCAGAAGCACCTTCTGGATATCTCTTTGGGGGGGCTTGGCAGATTTGGTTATAGTCTGAGTCATGACAAATATGTTAGCAAGTATCTTGATCTATTGCCTATTTCAATTAATCTTTAGTTCGTAGAAGAGAAGCACCATGGATGGTGGCATCTACGTTGTGAGTCATGTCACCTTCGTAATCTTATATTATTTTGGGGATCCCTCTAATACAAGTATTTTTATGTGTATTTGAGTGGGCTAATTATAAATTACCCCATATTCTTGGACCCTATTAGCATCATGGTCTCTGTACTTAAAAAATTTATATTGAGATCCTTATAATTATGCAAATGAAACAAATAACTCCATTTTCCCTAATGCCGTCAACTGTATTGACGAAAAACACAACACGTGACACCATGTGTTGAATCGACACGAAAGTGATGGGCAAAAAGATAATTTTAACATCCCTTCCATTTTCAATGACCTTATCGGCAAAAAAATAATTTCAACATCCCACGTGCTGGAAATAGAAGGGATATTGAAATTATCTTTTTGCCCATCACTTTCGTGTCGATCTAGCACGTGGTGTTATGTGTTGCGTTTTCCATCAATGCAGTTAATGAAGTTAGGGCAAATGAGGTTTTGTGAAAACACCTCTGCAGCTACCTGCCTGAAGGAAGAATATAATTGGAGATGCACAATAATTTTCTGAACTTGTATCCTACATGGCTTGAACTCGACCAAGTCGACGTCAACCACCCTTTAAACTAGAACAAGTTAATGTTATTGAGAAGTACTTTACTGTAACATGTATGTATTCTTATATTGATATCTTCTGTTTCTTTTTTCAGAGGAAAGTCATGAGAACCCTCATATCGCTGATTCTGATATGTTGATTATTCAATAAAATAATTCCTATCCTGTGGAATTTCCTTATTGTTCGGTTGTCCTATCAGATGTTTAGCTTAAGTGGTTGACAGGTGGAAGCATTCTACATTTATGTGCCAAATTTGCTAACTGTTTATATTTTGAACCTAAGAGATCTCTTGTTGATGACTCTGACTGCCTTATAATAAAAATATATATATATTATCATTATGCAATATTTGTTCTTTTTCATGCAGTTATCTGAACTGCAAATTTATACAAAACAATTGTCTTCTTAATTACTATCAATCCTTTTTAGGAAGTCATAATTGAAGACACATCCCCACTATTTATTTCTGTTGGTAGGGATGCATATCCTCATCAAATGCAATATTTTGCAGAATAACAAGATTAATCTGGAGTGTATATATGAATAAGCAATCCGATGTGATGATTAACATTTTTTTATTTCGGTGACACTTTTCATGGATTGTTCATATGGTTTTTATGTATTCCTTGTTTTAAAGTCTGACACTTCTCTCTTTCTTTTGGCAGAATGCATGAAAAACTTATACTGCCAGCACACATCATCATCAGTTGTGAAAAATTGATGGCTATAGGAAATCTTACTCTTGGTATGTTTAACCTGCTCACTGCTCAGGGAAGGTATGTGTTTGCTGATGCCTGCATTTTAGTGAGTTTATTTTTAAGGCATGATATCCAGATGATTAACACTAGTTAGGTGCAGTGTCATTGTTAAACACAAATGGTGAAATGTTTATTTCTATTGACAATAAAAAGAACATTGAGAAAAACTGGATCTTGCTTTCTTTTTGGGAGGCCTGCAATGACAATGGTAGAAAACCTGTAGCGGCTAGCAACAGTGGATTCATTAACTTCAACAAGCATGACGGTGTAAGTGATAACATACATTTTATGCCGTCAGCAACACTCAAACCCACTTGTGCTCTGACGGAATGTGCATCTCTATTGCAATCAAAATATGCTCAACATGTAATTGGCTCATGACAAACAGCTACTAACAAAGTTGGAGTATGTGCTTGAATGCTGGGAGATGAGAGTATCACATGGGTGTCCCCTTGAAATAACATTATCTGAGTTAAGTTATCACTTGTCGTGGGACCAGAATATATGGTTTAACAGGAGCTTTAAATGGACTACATTTCAAGTCTTCTGAACCTTAATGCTAGGTAGCCTCAGATCTCCACGGGGAAGGGATGATTGGTCCACCAATTCAATGTCGCAGTAGATAGGTGGGGTCTGTGTGGAGGCAATTTGCAGCTGATGTCCACGGCAGCTGTGGCATTGTAGAAGAATGTTCAATCACATGATTTGTCTGCCATCTTCAGTGGGACCCTTTTATGATCTTGAGACATGAGAGTCCTTTAGGAGTATCCAGTCTCTCTCATCCTATCAGGGAGTTGGGCCATGTGGTCCCTTTCCTTCTGCCAAAGTAGTAAAGAAATGAAATGTGAGACTAGGAAGTCAGTTTCAGAGTGATATGCCTTGCTTCATTTGTTCTCTTAGAACTTTATCTACCAAGTCCATCTCTCCAAAAACTGAAAGCTCAGTAGTTTCACTTTCTCCATCTCTGTAAGTTCTCACTTCATCAGATACATTACACTAATGCTGGTTAGGCTTTTGTTGATTTTACTTTCATTGTACATCTATTGTCCGCTAAGACCTTGTCATCATTTAAGAAGCTCTTTTTTTCTCTACTAATTCTGGTCAATAGGAGCTTATAAGACAACTCTGAGTGGGAGTTTTTAAAATGGTCTGGTAAAATTTGGGTAAAAATTGCTTCTGTATAAGAAAGTAGCCAACATAATGTGGCTACTATTTTCAAAGCCAGTACTGTTGTCATAAACCATTTCTGTTTCACAATTAAATTGCCATAGCAAGGGCATCTAAAGTACAAGACTCATTGACTTTGTATTTTTCTGTATGGTAATACAATGATGTGAAAGTATTCTGCATAAGACTTTCAACAAGATCTGATAACTTGTCTAATGAAAAAATATATTTCAGAGCTAAATGGTTTATTCACTTGTCAAGATTAAAGAGAGAGAAATCAAAATGCTATGCAGAAACCTTTCTTGCGGAAACCTTTCTTTTATTAAGTGAGCAATATAAAATTCACTTAAGAAAATAATGCATTGTGTAAGTTGAATTATTTGTTTAAAGTACAGAGATTCCTCAAAAAGTATTCCTCATCTTTGAAGACCTCCAGAAATTTGAGTTCCAGGTTCTTTTGAGGGTTTAGGTGGATAAGATTTGTTAGTGCAAGACATGAAGGACAAGGCCTTTAAACGCTTCAATTCTACAACATTTTCTTTTAATGCTATATTTAGATCAATTTAGATACTTGTATGGGTTGTAATGATTTCAACAAAAATAATGAACTTTAAGTATTTCTTTTTCTCCATTACCTCTTTTTGCATCTTAAACAGGTTTTATTCTGAGCCCCTACAGTTTTGCCACTGCTTTGCACATAAACTAAAAGTTTATTCACTGTTATAAATTGCAGGCAATTAACTTCATTTGTTTTCTCTGTGGAGGGTGGTCAAACAGCGGATGCATCTCTTTGATGTTGATATCCCAATAAATGGCAAATTGGATGATCTTTTTTGAACCTCCAACTGAATTTAGCATTAAATTGCCACACAATAGCCAGTTATCATCAGATAAGGGGGGAAAAAAAGGAAGAAGCAATCCCTCACCCTCTCCATATCTGGGCATTTGCTTGGTATATTCTTCAAGAAAGGCTTGAAATAGGAAAGAAGAAAAGGAAAGGCTACAAATAAGAAAATGATGTGGTTTCCCAATATTTAGAGGAACAGAAAACAAAATCAATCATAAGAAAGGACTAAATTGCTTTTAGTATCACAAAGTAGACTGACAACAGATATGGTCTCTTTGAATTGGTGAAAGCTCTTACAATTTGACAGGGATCGAAAACGAGGTTATGATTCCTTAAAGCATTGTTAATTCAAAAAGTATTTTTTGGAGCATATGTTGGAATACAAGGATACAAGCAGAAAAGATTAGCAAGATATTTACTAATAGGATTTGATCTCCAGTGAAATCACCTAAATCTTTTCATCCTAAGCATGGTGCCATCTTGATCACACCCTGATACTATTGATGCTGAACTTTCATTTACAGCTCTTAAATCAGATTCTCAACTTTGCTCAAATTGTCAATAATGGTGCAGACACATCCATGATTGCAGGTACGAGCAGAAGCATATGGCCATTTGGTCTGAGAGTGCATCAGAGCGAGCTGTAAGCTTGTACTCCATGGACAAGGGCAAAGGTCACCTGAGGTAAGTGAGGCAGAGGAGGGAGGAGATAGTGTAGGCCACACCATGTGTGAGTCTCGTGGGTTGTGCTGTAAGACTTATCAGAATCCATGAATCCCCAGCAACGAAAAGGGTATATATATCCTTCTCATGATCAGTTGTGTGATCAAGAATGGTCCAGTAGATTTGCATGAGGCCTCAGTATGGAAGCAGAGCTTCTACACTTTTTGATCCCCCACTAAAGAACTCGGATAGAGAACTGAGATAACACAGCGCTTTGGGATTCTTCTTACATGCATTGAACCTTAATGTCAGGGTAGAATATGAGTTGGTGGTGGATGAAATAGGAGGGCATCTTTAGTGAAAAGGCCCTTTCATTGCCTACAACTTTTAGGAAGGTTTGAATTCTTCAGGGGAGTGGAATACTTGGATGTTTGGATCTCTAAGGAAGCAATATTGAAGTTTCTGAGATGAATTGGCTGGTGCATTAACCTTTCCAGTTCTAATGGGGGCTCTTTCTCTGCTGCAACTGGGTACAACTGAGAACCTTGCCTTCTCAGAAAACAATCAATGAAGGTTGCAGTATCTGCAGTGTACTACTGTGCACCCATTGTACTCATCAGCCTTATGGAGATCAATGAAACATAACCAGGTTTGTTCTTCTTCTTCTAGTTTGGATAGAGAAAAGAGATGTTTATCAAGTGGAGATGCCAAAGATGCAAAGAGAGGAATGTGGTGATGCTGTTTCCATTCAAGTAATGCGTTGAAGTGGTCTACAAAGTTCACAAAAGTGAGAGAAGCCTCATCATCATCAACCGTTTCTCTGTACAGGAGGAGGCCCATTCCTGTTGCAAAACTTGGGCTCCATTGAGAGAGGGCTCCATGCACTCCAACTGTTCGACGTAACGTAACTCTACGACAGTCCATCTCATTCACACGAAACAGGCAAGAGAGAAATTAGCAGGCGACGTGACATGATGCCGTTAGATCTGTGAGATGCATCTCCTGTGGCAGGCGACAGGTCGCTTGGCGGGCTTGGTTTCCTCCTTCCACATCCTACCGATGTCCTTGGCTGTCCTCGCTGCATCTGAGGAAGCACCGGCGAGGCCTCTCCTTGTGAAGCCAACCGCGTAGAGCCCAGACTGCCCTTTCCACCCGTCTGGGAATGGGGTCTTCGGAAACCCATCCTTGGAGAAGAAATCACATCCCTGCACAATCCCACAAACCTGCATTAGTCTCCCTTTTCGCCCTCGCTTTCTACTGTCGAGCTGAAACAGTAGAGAATCTTGGTTCGTACCTGAAGCCACTGAGGGACGTTGCTGCGGTATCCTGTGGCCAAGATGACGGAATCGATGTCGAGGGCCTGGCCGTCGACGAGCTCGACTCTTCCAGGGGAGAACCTCTTGATGCCAGGGACTACCTTGATGTCGCCGGATCTTATCTTGGCGAGTGCCCCTGAGTCGAGAACAGGGGTTCGTCCTTGTGTGTTTTTGAGCTCCAGGGGACCAGTGGAAGGCCTCCTCAAGCCATACTTCTCTACGTTCCCCAGCATCAGCCATGCCAACAGCAGCAGGATCTTGTCCACCAGCCACAGCGGCAGCCACTTCATCAGCAGAACAGCCAGCTCGAACGTCGACTTCCCGAGAACCTCCCTCGGCAGTACGTGAACCTGTGAATCAACAAGTTTCCGTCAGTAGAATGTGGATGTATGTATTGAGCAGCTTCCTTTCGGGCAATGACCGCTCACCGAGTCGCGGACCACGATGGCCGGGAAGGCATCGTGGTCGCAGAGGTCGAGGCAGAGTTCCATGCCGGAGTTGCCGCATCCGATCACCAGCACGCGCTTCCCGCGGTAGGCCTCACCGGACTTGTAGTCGCAAGCATGGATCACGTCGCCGCCGAACCCCCCCAGCCCCTCCAGGTCCGGCACCACCTTCTCAGCGTTCTCGCCGGTGGCCACCACTATCCACCTGCCAATGTACTCCACCTCGTGGCTCCGGTTACCTGCCTCGGCGCCAGCTCCAACGGTCCTCACGCGCCACAGCCCGCATGTCTCGTCGTACCTCGCCGACTGCACCGACTGGTTGAACCGCGGGCTGATCTCGAAGTGCTTGGCGTACGACTCCAAGTAGTCGACGAATTGCTTCTTGGTGGGATACTCAGGGTAATCCTCGGGGAAGGGGAACTTAGGCAGCTGACAGAATTGCTTGGGGAGGTGAAGCTTCAAGCGGTCGTAGGTGCGCTTCTGCCAGAGGGAGGCAATGCAGTCGGCGCGCTCGAGGATGACCGAGGGCACGCCGTGCTCCTTCAGGCACGCCGCGACCGCCAGCCCGGACGGCCCTGCTCCAACGATGATGGGGCCGTTCACCCACGCGCACCTCCGCGAGAAGAAGTCCAACCGGTCAGTCATGCTGGCCATCCGTGGTTGTCTATGTGGTATTGGATTCCGCAGCAGTTGGGAACAAAGCAGAGCTTGAGAAGTGACAGGACAAGTTGGAACATGCACTTGTTGCCAATGGAATTTGGACTTGGAGATGGGAACGAAGACGGCAAACAGTTAGGAAAGCGAAGGTGATGGAGAAAGGGGCTTAGGAGAGGCGAGAATGGGGCAACTGAAACTTGCGCTGAAGTGAGGAAGGGTGAGAGAACGGGGAGGTGTATAAATAGGGTGGGGGATGGCCATTGCTCATGAGAGCTGCATGTGAGAAGTTGGTGCAGAGGTCCTTCTCAAGTGAAAAGCCTCTTCTCTCCCTTTGTTTAAAGCTTATTGGGCAGTTCAGACTTTCAAATATGCATCTCAGGCAAGGCTTCTATGGATATTTGAAGGGAAGGATTTAAAGATCATCTTCAAGATGTAAGTGTTCATTTTCTAAATATGTGTAGATATATTTCTCTTTGCAGATGACATATACCCTATGTTTTCAATTGAGATACAGAAAGTTATATCCAAACTACAAATTCTCAGAAATCTCAACAGAGAATTGGAATTAGTCTTCACCATGAGATGATGCACTTATTAGAAGGCAGTCGCTGTTTGATCAATCACTTTCAGGTGATGCTAACTATAAATGTTGCTGAAATATTAGCCCTCTGTTTCTTTCTCTTTTGTTTGGATGATCATTTTTGATTGGGGGGGTCATCATTTTGACTTCAAACTGCATTAATGTCAATCCATGGAGCTCTTCTGGACCTCCCAATTGATTTGCCAGAAAACATTCCCTCCATTTAGTGTTCCTGCTAATAGCCACAGATTAACTTAGCATGCTTTGCTTGCTGCCACAAGTTGCTTCCTTTAAATTGAGTAGTGGTTGATTTTTTTTGTTTTTTTGTCATCATAATGGGATAGAAAACTACATAAAGAATTGAATTCAAGTTGGTCAACTTTTTCAGGCAAAAAGGATTAAAGGGAAGAAAAGATTACCTTTTCTAGTCCTTTCAGGAGATTCAAGTGCAAGTAAGGCTTCATTGTTTAAACAAATTCATGTTGAGATGAACTTTTTTACCAACCATCCTACTAAAATAAAATATGAACATGACATTCATTGCATAATCTTCATTTCTCTTTCATTAGATTTGAGTGTTGATACAATAAAATAATCTCTTCATTTGTAGGATTAAGACTATGTACATTGATTCATACTACCCTGTATCAATAGAACCTCGTGTATTGTATTCCTTTCTTTTCTTTATGATTGCTTGATCTCTTGAGCTCAACTAAGTCTGATGATGATTAAACAGGCCCCAGTCCTACCCACACACACTGCAACAGAAAGAGAAAAGAAAAGCTTATGGTTCATCTGCATTCAAGCAAGCACATGTACTGGTCAAATTGAAGCTTTCTTTAGGCCCTACTTGCATTAGAGAATCCATCAACAACCACACTTGATGATCCTCTTTTCCACCAAAGAAAGAAGAAAGAGATGAAAAAGAAGTGAGTAATGAACCTTTTTTTTTTTTTTTTTTTTGACAACAACAATACCTATGTGGAAACACTGTAGCTGTTGTTTTAATCTCCTTGCAGTCGTTTTTATAGAACAAGTTTTCAGAGTGCAATCAATTAACACTTTCAATTAATCTCATATCGGAAGTAGAAAGTCAAGTATATATTTGTATAGTTTATGAGTAAATATTTGAAGTAAATGGTTTAAGCTCGATGAAGTTAATAGACTAATAATTACTCTTATCTCCAAAGGAGCATGAAAAATAGAGAAATGGGGGTTCATGAATTTGCTTCAGTAGCCATCATAAATTACAAGGAATCAGATGTTTGTTTATCCTGCACAGATTGAATAGTAATCGGTCCATTCACCAAGGAAGCATATGGGAATAGGGTCTGCATGCATGTACACTGTAACACTGCAGCTTTGAAGATGATCCATCTTCTTTGTTCGAGAACATGTGCATGAGACCTCGATCTCCTGAGAGACTCTCCCTTTCATGCCTACCTAATGGATAGGTAGAGTACGCAGTAGTGCTTCCTGATCAATCTCTTATTCCGCTGGCCTCGAATTGAGCAGCAGAATCAAACGTTCTTCCCACCTTTAGCACGAGAACATTTGGCTGCAACTGTTCATTGCATGATTGGTTAGGGAAGTGAGCTCGGAAGACAAATGGTGGAAGAACGCCATGGCCACGTATCCTAACCCCCCCCCTTGTTTAAGCGTCGATGGGGGTCGCACATCAAGGAAATCCCCATGGTCGGCGATGGCAGTTTACAGCTTTTACGTTAAACTAAGCGAAGCCATGAGAAGCCCAACGAGGAGCTTTGTGCTGTGCTCATGGCGAAAAGTTGGCGAAGAATTAGAGACTACTTCGTGTTTGATGAGCTTCTTTGTGGCTTCCCAAAGGCTTTGATGCGTGCCTTTTAGGAAGGGCAGCTCGAAAGGGTGGTGGAAAGAATGTTATCTCTCAAAAGCTTTGTGATTTCCTTCAATACAATATGCGTTCTTCTTCATCAAACAGCCATGGTGGGCTCTTCCACTGTTCTTAAACTACAATTGGATTCTCCATCTTCTCTTCCATTTACATGGATTCGTTGCCTCCACATGAACTCTGATGCCCACAAAGCCTGATCCCAAATCCATGGGTTCCCACATGATCATCAAGGCATCAAGCTGGTGCGATTCGATGGCGTCCAACTACCGAATCCTAATCTAATCATTACAAGTGTTGCATTTGCTCACCAACACTTCATGATCATAAATTGTGTTGCAGTCCAATGTCGTAGTCAAATGTGGGGTGATTAGCAACATGACTCGGTCCAATACTCTCTTCTCACCTTCTCTCTCTATCCTCGAGAACACTTCATCACCTTCAGTGGTAGGTAGCTTAACTGTTTAACTACCATGTGGAGCAACAATTATTAGCCTCATTGGTTTTGATTGTTATATGGCGCATCACATGGTCAGCAACATATAATATATATTGACTTTGGGGAAAGGAGGAGAGCACATTGGAGAGTTTGCATCAATATCTATGTGGTCATTTGTTATTTCATCTATTTCCTTTTGTTTTATGGAGAATCTTGGTCCACTCATATCTATGGTAAGAGTTCCTTCTAGATTTTGTATTATATATATGTATTAATGTTTTTAGTACTTCAAGGTCTGGATTCATGCTCCTATTGTATGTGAATTTAGATGGTTGATGCAACCCCTATCCTCCCAACCTTACTTGGAGTTGAGGGATGAGGAATGACTTCCATTTTGAGCATGTAAGTGACATCAATTCCCAAGAAAAGTATGTCACAGCTTGTATAGCAATTTTATACCATGGAGTCATATGCAATGGAACAATCTACTTTGTAGTTTGTACTGCACCCAATTATATAGTTGCATATTTATGTGCATACAACACAAGATGAAAGAAAATTGCTCTCTTTGGTCACTTAGATTCTCAGTCATGTGTGGTCAAACAGCAAGCAGAATGCATGAGCCCACATGGAGATGAAATCCCAAGAACAGGAGAGGAATCAAAGAGGGTTGGTGTGAGGATTTTTGGTTACCTTCATTCGTCATGCAGTAGAACATGGAAATGCTGCAACTGCACTGAGCATTTGTGTAAGAATGACAATGATGAGAAACCGGAGAAGATAGCTGATTCTTGTGTCTTCTGTAATGGGAGAATAGAGATTTGATGCAGTATGCAAAAGAAGAGTTATTGGTGTTGTTAGTTGAAAAGGAGATTATGCTGCATAAGTCCATGTAGTGAGAACAATGGTCATCAGTAAGTTGGGCACAGCAGGATCATCATTGAGTTCTTGGCCCTTAATCATATGTATAAGATTGGAGTCCATGAATCGGAGATTGAAGCCCATGCTGCAGTCAACATTTCCTTTTCACCTCTGAAGTTAATAAGATTAACAGGGGATTCAAATGTGGGTTCGAAAAGCATCATAAATATGCTAATCTTGCAAGTCCTGCATCATATGAACCAGGAAAGGACTACCCTGATTGCAGCCAGTTAAGAAGCACAAGCATTGTTTGAAGAAGCATGGACGAGGTAGAAACTGCTGCTGCTGTTTCTGCCGTGTTGGGTGCTTGGCTTTGTTCTCAGTCTCTTATCTTAGAGTGGATTCATAGAACTCGGGTGGCTAATTTCCAAGGCAAACACTTGACTTTCTTTTCAGGACTGTGGATTACTAAATTGCCTATTGTCGATGGAGCATAGAATGTGGACGAAAGGATTCAATGCTCGGCACATTGGATGGTTGTGTGTCGGTATAGCAGCACAAAGAATTCAGCTACTGCGAGACAGAAACGTCAAAACCAAGAACTTGGATTTTTCCTGTGTCGGATGTACACTCACTTCAATGGATGTCATCGAAATGAGGACCAACCGGTGACGGTGGTGGATTCGTTGGGGACCTCAAACTCAAACGAAACTAAGACCTCTCCTATCTGCGAGGTCATCCATTCTCGACTATGTGTAGCTCATCCTTCGGTACAGTGGATCCGCACAAGACGGAAGCAACGATGAGAGTGCATCTTTGCGCGAGCTCCTAAAGGGAATCAGGTTAAAATTCTCGAGTCGAGATATGGTGACATAACGTTAGGAAGTCCGAAAACATAATAGCACGACATCCAATGCATCCAACAGCTCTTGAAAATCAAAAGAGCAAGTGCTGCCTGCAGATAGGGTTAGCGGACAAAAGAGAATTGCACGATATTCGATGTATCTTGATAGCTCTTGAAAATCCGTAGGATTGTTTGCGTCTAATCATACGTACTCATAAACGTATTAGATCATCGCACGATATTCGATGCATCTTGATGGCTCTTGAAAATCCGAAGAATTGTTTGCGTCTAATCGTATGTACTCATAACCGTATCATATCATTGCACGATATTCGATGCATCTTGATAGCTCTTGAAAATCCGAAGGATTGTTTGCATCTAATCATACGTACTCATAACCATATCATATCATTACACGATATTCGATGCATCTTGATAGCTCTTGAAAATCCGAAGGATTGTTTGCGTCTAATCGTATATACTCGTAACCGTATTAGATCATCGCACAATATTCGATGCATCTTGATAGCTCTTGAAAATCTGAAGAATTATTTGCGTCTAATCGTACATACTCATAATCATATTATATCATTGCACGATATTCGATGCATCTTGATAGCTCTTGAAAATCTGAAGGATTGTTTACGTCTAATCGTACGTACTCATAACTGTATCATATCTTTAAGATGAATAACCTTTAGTCGAGTCGAGGAATAAAATATAGAAAAAGGAAGTAGATTCGTAACACAATGCAAACAATATCGTAACATAAAATAGTTACATTATTAGGATCGAAAACATGGACGCGTTGTTGTTCTATTGATGTGTGATTGATGGGGTAGTAGTACTGGTAACAACATTTGCTTGATATCAGTAAATAATTACAATGTCATCCTGTAAACCCTAATATCTACCACCCACCAATGCAAGAGAGAAATCATAGGGGAGGAAGACTCTCGGACCTCGTCCGGCCATCCTCGAGCTCAAGTAGAACCGCTCGGCGGCGTCGGAGGATGAAGGGAGGCCAACCTCGAAGAGAACACGCGGTGGTAACCCGACTCCTCGTCTCCATCCCGACCACCGTCATCGAAGTTCTGCGAGTAACTCAGCGGGTCATACTTGAAACTGCCCCGCTTCACGTACAGCCGACCGCGGCGTCCTCGCCGGCTTCCGCACCGCCTCAGGCTTCGCCACAGCGACGCCAGCCGGAGCTTTCCCCAGCAGGAGAAAAGTCCATGTAGCTTCTGATGCTGCGCCACCGCCGTTTCATCTTCCTCCACTGATGGCAGTCTCTGCTTGTGGTTCGAATGCAGCTCTTGCATGAAAGCCAGCCAGATACCGAGCTACAAGAAAGAGGAAGCAGCGGAGGAGGCGACTGAGTGGCAGAGAGTTGGGCTGGAGTGTCGGATAAGAATTCGGTGAATGTGTGTACGTCCGTGATATGGATTTGTTGGCAGCTTTAGGTGGTGGGGAAGCTAAGAACAGCAACAGCTGGAGTCCTTTGGCACATTCCGGAAGACGGAATCTTAATCATACGGGAGGTGGAAGAAGAAAAAGCTGTATCACTCAGCTGTTTGGATTGCAGGATGCCACCTCTTGCGAAAGTTTATGATCGATGCGATGTTACAGTAACCCACGCAGCAGTCACGACAAAGTTGATGTGAGGTTCTCTTCTCAGGAATCCATGATCATTGCGATGTGAGGCGCTCAGCAATCTTTTGAGACCAGACTTTGACGAACTTTTCATAGTAAGAACACTGACGAGGCTACATAAAACCAAACTTTTATGATGTGATCATCAATCTATAAGGATGATAACTATTTTTGATATTCTAATAATATTAGAATTACTTGAAAAAAAATTCATATACAACCCAAATTGATTTATATTAAGATTATTAAATATTTTAAGATTTATGAAGCCGTGTCACACGACGACAAG